ACCATCAGCAAAGACATCTTTTCGGCGATTTCATTCTCAAAAACAGCTGTATAGTAACACTTCTTTTATACATAATTCTATACAGATACAATTATTATTATGATGATGATTTAACTCCACATGATAACGAAGGAGGAATTTAAAGGTCATAATAATTTCCATGTTAATATGAAAGTTCGAAGGTGTGAGTGAATACAGATTACGAGGGGCTTAGGCAAAAAATTACCCTCTCATCATCTCACTGCATCGCCCCATATCAAAAGAATTTACAGTATTGACTGCTTAGAAGAACAGTTCTTACTTCTCAAAAATATCCTGGATCAAAAACTCGATACCCAGCACATTTCCATGGAGAAGAACATGAAACCAAAGTTAAAAAATAGAAAAAGATGCACTTCGATAGCAAAGAGAACACTGTATATGAATCTGGAATTCAGGGATATATCCTTGAGGAAAGAATCTCTAGTTCCCCAGATAAAGCCTTTTATGCAGTAACAGTAAGAGTGACATTTTCTCCAGCTGCCCACTGCTTCTTAGCAATGTGAAGGACAAACTTCCGCATAAGATCACTCACCTGCTCGTGAGGAGCTAAGTACATGACCGACTCACTGAATGGCTTCAACACTGAACTTTGCACAAATGTGCAGCAGTTCGAGTGGCCGCTCTTCCTCCATGTAGCTCACAAAGCAAGAGAAGACTGGAGAGATTCAAATGACAGATGACAAACAAAAGTGTGAGGCAAAAAGAATGGTAATAAAGAAAAAATAATAGAATTTTACTGGATAATAAAAGTCACCAAGAGTGGATTGAGAACGGTTTTGAGCCATACCAACAATTGTCTCCAGCCATTGGTTTCTACAATCCCATAGACCCCAACCAGGCAGCCAGTCTACACTTCTTCACGTGGTTTAAACTAACTGTTGCGGATTTCATTGGCTGATGAAGTCATCTTTTCCTTTGTGCACCACTAGCTCTTTGCCATTCTGATCTTATGTCAACTAACATTGCCCGTTGTCGAGGAAGGCAATGGTTAGGTTCGCATGCGTAACACATGTCCTAAACATCTCAATCCGTGTATCTTCGCAGCCTCGTCGATTGATTTCCCCTCACACCTACCTAGCACTCAACTGAAGCCTAACCTTATAATTGCTCACCCTAACATACCACTTAACATGGGTGATAGAAGGCAGACACCTGTGGTCAAATACAGCTAGCTGGCCTTTTAAAGTCTTCCACTCTAAATCACCATGTCACTCACAGCCATAAAGAAGGACTGAGTGAACTGCTGCTGAGCAGTACACACGTCCTTTGGTCGATACCCAGCCGGATATCGCGTCTACGCCAGAGACTGTGTAAATTGGCATATGCTAGACGAGTCTTCTGTATAATAGGTGAGATTTTGTCAGCTATCAGCCCGTTGGCACTAACTGACGCAACTCTCTGCCACCACATCACTACCTATCTCTAAGCTAGGAGTCAATGTAGTCCAGTACTGTAACATCATCTTACATTTGACAGGAGCGAATCGCATGCCAAACATTCGTAAATTGCAGCTCAAGGTGTTCAGAAGACTCTGCATTTTGTCAACGTTTTCACCTAGGAGGAGGGACTATATCATCTGCATATTCTAGGTAAACGAGATTATTCCTTGGTAACAAGTCGAAGGTACATTGGTCGTTTTATGTCCATCTTTATGAAACGCGTTAGAGAAAACTACCCAGCATGGCTGCAAAGAGGAGTCACTGATTTACAATCAGAAGCGCCATAACTGAACACCTCATCAACACACACCCGTCACAGTTTCTCACCTAACTCATCATTCAGAGTCATTTACAAAGTGAACAAAAATCTGATACCAAAGGCAATGTGTTTTCAACTTCTTTGTATTGCAGAAATCGTCACTATATGCATCGAAAAGTAGGAGGCATAAGTTCAGAATACAACTAGTCCAACCTGTACATTTACCATAGATCTAGTTTGGTTTGACTCTTTCATTTTCGTTTTTATGTTCGTTCGGTTTTTCATTCCCATCAATATCTTTTCATTTTCAGTTATAAAAACTATTATTCCAATTTGTTTCCATACTCGTCCCGTTCACATATGCCTTCGTTTGAAAAACTGCTTACTACTTTGTGCAACTGTGTCTCCCAATCCCATGTAATTTTGTTTCTAAGCCCCTTGTTATAATCTATATTCACTTACACCTTCGAATTTTCACATCAAGTTGAAAATTATTATCACTTTTCGTCTCCTCCTTCTTCTTCGTTATTATGGTGAACTATATAAGTCATAATTGTTATTATGTAAACCAATTCTGTGTTCTTTCTCTCGCATAAAGTGGGAATAATAGGGTGAGTAATATTGAGGTCAGGCTTCAGTTGAGTGTTAGTTAGGTGTGAAGTGGAAATCAATCGACGAGGTTGTCCAGTTACATCGATTGAAATGGCTAGGGGACATGTGTTACGCATGATAGCCTGGCCACGGATGGCCTTCCTCGACAACTGGCATTGTTAGCTGACTGACATAGGATGAAGCAGGTTGGAAAAGAGCTAACGAGTGGTGGTCAAACGAAAACATGGTTTCATTATTCAATGAAATCCACAACAGTTAGTTTAAGCCAGCCGCCACATAGGGAGGTGTAAACTGTTTAGTTGGTTGAGGTCCTCGGGATGTTAAGAACCAATGACCGCTGGAGACAATTGGTGATATGGCTCAAAATCGTCGTTGTCAGTGGTCGATTAGATGAATTCACTCTACTGTCCTTCTATATTACTATTCTAGTTTGGGAATCATCGGCAGTACGCACCCACTGGGATTCGAACTCAGGACCTTCAGGTTACAAGGCAAGCTAACTTGTAGACCATTCAGCCACTGGGACCCGATTCAATCGCTCATGAATTGTAACTTCTAACAATTCATGATTTAGCGCGTCCCCAACCATTGTCGTTGGTGGGACATCCATCCACACACGTGACATCTAAGTAGACCTCACTGGTCACGACTTCTCACTAGAACTCGAGGAAACTCCATCCTGTAGCAAGTCACTAGCGAGCATCAGATTAATTTTCTATAGTTTGGTTTGTAAGGGTTAGTTATGTTTTTACGAGTTGATCATGGATTGATATCAGTTAGAGAACCATTGAAAACCAGGGAGTACTGGACAGCTGCTGTTTCATCCTAGTTTGGGAATCATCGGCAGTACGCACCCACCAACCGGGTTAAAACCCAGGACCTTCCGGTTACAAGGCAAGCTCGTTCTCTAACTGATATCAATCCGTGATCAACTCGTAAAAACTTAACTAACCTTTACAAACCAAACTATAGAATATTACTATTCGATTTCCTTCATTCACACTTCTGTTTATTGTCTCCCTTTAAATGAATGTCTCTCTAATATCTTTTCCTGCTTTGTATGCTACATGGAGGGAGAGTGGCAAGTCGAAGTAGTGCACATGTGTGCAAAGTACTATGTTGAAACCAGTCAGTCAGTCACTCACTCACTCAATCAGTCGTGTACACGCATGTATATAAATGTGATTGTAAAGCTGTATTTAAGAATAAAATTACCGAAAAGATATTTTTGCAGCTGAACATCTCGTTTTTTCTCTCCCTGATAACTGTCTGTCTGTTTTCGACATAGAACTTTCCACCGATGTGCAGCAGTTCAAGTCGCCACACTCCACGTATCACACAAAGCAAGAGAAGAAAGTAGAAGAAATGCATAATATAGACAGTAAACAGAGGTGTGAGACAAAGGAGTAGTAATAACGAAGAACAATATAGTTTCATTGGAAATCATAAGTCACAAGGAGTGGATGCATCTGCGCCACTGAGAACGATTTTGAGCCATGTCACCAATTGTCTCCAGCCATTGGATTTTACCATCCCGAGGCTTAAATTAACTGTTGTAGTTTGCATTGACTGGTGTCATGTTTTGGTTTGACCGCCACTTGCTCTTTTCCAGTCTGACCCTATGTCAGTTAACATTGCCCGTCGAGGAAGGCGATGACTAGACATGCGTAAAAGGTGTCCTAACCATCTCAGTCGATGTAATTTCACAGCCTCGTCGACTGATTTCCCCGCCTTACCTAAAACTCGACCAAGGCCTTACCTCAATATTGCTCACCTTATTATACCACTTCACACGGGAGATAGAACGCATATACCTATGATCAAAGACAGCTAATCTTTTCATGTCTTCAACTTTTAATGGTCAGATCTCACAGACATAAAGGAGGACGGGGCGGACTGTTGAGCAGTACACCCGCCCTTTGGTCGATAGTCGGATATCACGTCTACGCCAGAGACGGCGTAAACTGGCATATGCGAAACTAGCCCTCTATATACTTGCTGAGATTTCGTCAGAGATCAACCCGTTGGCACTGGCTGATGGTACTTCCCAAGTAAGTGAAGCGGTCAACGTGCTCTACCACTTCACTTCCTATTTCTAATCTAGGAGTCGGTGTAGTCCAATCCTGTAACATCATCTTGCATTTGGCAGGAGCGAATCTCATGCCAAACATTCTTAGATTGCGACTCAAGGTGTTCAGAAGACTCTGCATTTTGTCAGCGTCCTCGCCTAGAAGGACTATATCGTCTGCATATTCTAAGTCTACGAGATTATTCCCTGGTTGTAGCAAGTCAATCTCTGAGTCTCTGGAGTAAGTTAGGGTTAAGTCCATTAGTACATTGAATAGAAATGGGGATAATGGGCATTCCTGTCGGACACCACTAGTTGTCACCAGTTGAGATGACAACTCGCCGTAAGCCCTCACCTGGCTGGCTGCACGAGTTCGAGTAGAGTGAGCGTCTTTCTTGATCAGTGCAATGTATTTTCTCGATATTCCCTTTACAGCCAAGCATCGCCAGAGAACCTCTCCTTGATAACAAGTCAAACCAATAATTAGCCACATGTATAAACTAAAAATCAATATTTTACTTCAGTCTACATGAAATTCCCCTTATGACAGAATTTGCTAAAATAAAAAACATTAACTTACATATTATTAGGAAGAAATCTTCGTGCAGCTAAGAGAGATGCATATGCTGGATTCACAGAGGAGGATGATGATTGGCGCGTAGTGGAAATGTTTATAGGTTGCGGTGTAATCCTTTCATGAAGATGTTTGTTCGAATCAGATGATGAGTTGACAGAGTGTGCTTTCGTATGATTAATTACATGGACATGTGTATCTGAGGTTTGTTCTGATGACGCTGTATTAAGTAGATGATCCATTTCCATAGATGCGGACTGTTTAACATTTGAAGTATTTGATAAATTTTGTGATTTTAATGCACTTCTTATGAGATCTTCTGAAGAAAGAAAGAAGAAAAAACAAAACAATAAAAGATCCTTAAACATTGACTTAGCAAAAATCTCTGAAATCTTCAACAAGGAAAACATAGTACTGCATACGACATACGAACGAAATCGGGTGTTGTGAAAGGATTCGACTCCGTGAGCTGAGTTGAACTGGGTACACTTCAGATGTACTCAGCGCTACACAAGCGAAACAGTCATCTTGGAGGTATTTAGATTAATAGCGATGTTTGCCTGTAAAAGGAATGCAGCCAACCAGCTGAGAGATTACGGCGAGTTGTCATCTCAACTGGTGACAACTAGCGGTGTCCGTCTTCAGGAATGCCCACTATCCCCATTTCTATTCAATTTCATCATAGATGTATTAATGGAATTAACCTTAACTCACTTCAGCGACTCAGGGATTGGCTTGTAACTATCAGGGAATAATCTTGATGACTTGGAATATGCGGATTATACAGTGAAGGCGCTGACAAAATGCAGAGTCTTCTGAACACCTTGAGGAGCATGTTTGGCATGCGATCAGCTCCCGTCAAATGTAAGATGATGTTACAGGACTGGACTACACTGACTCCAAGCATAGAAATGGGAAGTGATGTGGTGCCTGAGCGGGTTGACCACTTCAATTGTTTGGGAAGTTGCCTCAGCCATTGCCAACGAATTGATCGCTGACGAAATCTTTGCACGGATACAGAAGGCTAGTTTAATATATACAAGTTTACGCCGTCAAGCTGGGTAACACAGTTGATGAGGTCGGCGCCAAACCAGTGAAACGGTACTGGTCGATATAATTGCCATGCTGCAACTACTCATCACGCCGAATCAGTAGTATATAATTTTATGTAGATTTGCCAGCTTTCTTGATTAACATTTATGGTGATATCAAACGGAGAACATACCGTGTGTGATCTGAATGATCCGGGTTTCCAAGTGAACCAACGATGGAATTTCACCACCACTCAAACTGTATAAATTGCAACTTGTGAATTAAACATAAAATTGACACTTGCATATAGAAAAACGTTGAACGTATTTTTAGATATGTGAACCTCTATATGTCAACTAGAAAATTACATTGAAATACGAAAGCTAATACTCGTGCTAAGATCACATGATATGACATACACACGTGAGTGCAAAATGACTGAAGACACGTGGAGTTTACAATTATCATTATTATTGTTTCCTTTAATTCCTAGAGGAACATAGGGCTTCAGCCGCACGTCTCCATTGCGTTCGGTTCTCTGCTAGGGACTTCACCCAGCTCCAAGTCTGCCCACATGCTTTCATCTCCTCTTCACATGACCTCCTCCAAGTCACCCTTGCAGAGACGACCAACTTGCCGCTTCCCTTTCCGGTTCCACTCGAGCAATGGCTTGTCTATTGATGTCACTTGATGGATTGTTTCCTCAGAGTATGGCCAGCCAATCCATCTCCATTTCTTCCTGCCTATTTGTTTCACAATCGGTTCCTGGTTGGTCCGCTCAATGCCAGTGATCTCTGTTGCTGATCTTTTCTGGCCATCTGATCTTGAGTATTGAGTGAAGACAACTGTTAATGAAGGTCTGTATTTTGTTTGAGATGCTCTTTATGACGCGCAGTGCAAGTCTCTGATCCGTATAGTGAGTAGCACTGACTTCACATTGGAGTTGAAAATCCGGATCTTATTTTTGATGCTGAATGCTGTTAACCTCCACACAGACTTGAGAGTGTAGTGAAAGCTTGTCTTGCTTTTCCGATTCTTGCTTCGATATCCTCGTCAGTTCCGTTCGCCTGTAGTTGAAGGGATGCTTCTCAGGTAGGTAAAAGAGGTTGTTTCTTCCACGTTCCTCCCATTTATGCTGATCGTTGTCTGTTGTTGTTGTTCTCGCCCAGGAATCTTCATCACCTTTGTTTCCTCTATGTCCACCTGAAGTCCTATCTTTGATGCTTCTTCTGCCAACTTGTTGCTTTTCGCTTGCATATCTTCCAGTTTATGGGAAATCAGACATATATCATCGGCGAAGTCCAGATCATCCAAGTTTTTTGTGTGAATCCATTTTATGCATGTTTCCACATTGCCCGCTGTTTGTCTCATTATCCAATCTACTGCAATCAGGAAAATCATTGGCGTTTACAATTACAATTTAGAAAATATATTTTATTCAAGACATGTTTATTTTTATTCGACAAGATGTATGCTATCAGGTTTGTTATGCGTGAAGTGACAACGGATATCTGAAACAATCTGAAATGGAAATTAATCATTGCCGTGAGGAAAGGGGGAATTAGTTTGATGGCACAATGGTAGGATGCTCACTACTAGGCATGCAGAAGGCCCAGGTCCAATCTCCGATCGCCGCACAACAACAACTACTACTGCTACTAATCTAATGCTCACTGATGAGTAACTGACAACACGTAGCCGCGTAAAGGCTTATGGGGAATTGTCATCTGAATTGATAACAACCAGTGGTGTCCGTCAGGGATGTCCACTTTCCTCTTTTCTGTTTAACTTCATCATAGATACGCTAATGGAAGTATCCTTAACTGAACTTAACGATTTAGGAATCGACTTGTTACCAGGGAATAGTCTTATGGACTTCAAATATGCAGACGACATAGTCCTGTTAGGGGAGGACGCTGACAAAATGCAGAGTTTTCTGAACACCTTAAGCAGCAATCTTCGTATGTTTGGCATGCGATTCGCCCATGTAAAATGTAAGATGCTGCTACCGGAATGACTGGACTACGTCAACTCCTAGCTTAGTGATAGGGAGTGTATTGATAGAACATGTTGACCACTTCATCTATTTGGGAAGTTGTATCAGCACCAACGGACTGATTGGCGACGAAATCTTAGCACGGATCCAAAAAGCTCTGGCTGCTTTCGCTAACTTACACCGTCTCTGGCGTAGGCGTGACATCCGGCTATCAACCAAGGGACGTGTGTACTGCTCAGTAGTTCGCTCCGTCTTTCTCCATGGCTCTAAAACATGACCAATACAAGTCGAGGGAAAATCACTCGACGAGGCTATAAAGTTACATAGATTGAGATGGCTAGGTCACGTGCTGCGCATGCCTAACCATCGCCTCCCCCGATGGGCATTACTAGCTCATATAGGTGCAGGTTGGAAAAGAGTAAGTGGTGCCATGCCAAAGAAAAACATGGCATCAATCCATGAAATCCTTGACAGTTAAACTGAGTCACCTAGGGAGGGAGATGCAGACTTCCGGGTTGGGGCCCTCGGGACTCTAGGAATCAATGGCTGGAGACAATAGGTGGTGACATGGCTCAAAATTGTTGTCAATGGCGCAGATGTATTCAGTCTCTTTAACCTTCATACTCCTTTCTACCATTACTCATTCTGTTTCACTCTTATACTTGTCACAACTTTGTTGATTCTCTTCACTCATTTTCTTGTCAACCTTTGTGTGCTATTTGGAACGTGGCAACTCGAACTGCTTCCCTTCGGTGCCAAGTTCTATGTTGAATCCAGCCAACTGAAAACAGGATGAAGGTGACTACAGTTCTAGTGAAAAATTGGGATTAACAGGATCTACACCAGGTCGGGTGAAGCGACAGATACACTCTCCGATGATATCGGCTAGAGGTTGCACTATAATATCGTGGATTGGTAGAATAAAGAGAATTGACGGGTCATCAGATGCTGTCTCAGTATCTGAATGGTCAACGAGCTCACCCCACCCCCCAGTAACCTGAAGGTCTTGGGTTCGATCTCTGACAACAGCGTCATGGGTGCGTAGTGATGAAGAGTTCGAAACTGAGAAGAAACAACTGTCCGGTACTGCCTACTGGTTTTGAATGATTCTCTGACTGAAGTCATTTTGTGATAAAAAAAAGCTTAAACTTCGCTCAGTTTATTGGCCGAGAGTAAACTCCAAAAAATTGGCGGAGGATTGGGTGTGTGGCTAGCAGTCCAACCCTGTAGAAACACCACCACCACCACCCTATCTTCTATTCGGAAAGCAAGGAATTACAAAAAAAAGTTAACTGTTACTGAGAAAAAGTAACCAAGTTATACAGTTTTATTTATTATATTAGAAATTAGGAAGAGATGAGCATATTGAAAGCATCTAGTTGTACTCATCAACGAAGTATTCTCAGCTTTGACAGAGTTGTCTCTTTGATTGGACACTAGTAACTAGTGTGACGTATCTAGTCCTTTCTTTGGTGCAGACTGAATTCAATCAGTCAGGTTTGCAATGTGGCTACTATCCTAGGTAGCTCGCCATCACGGTGCACATGGATTCGATGATATCAGATAGTTGGAGGCAATCGGCGGGAAGCCTTGAACCTAGGTTTCGTGCTAGTTGGCACTTGTTAGCAAGGCGTATCTGCAACCTTGAAGGAACTGATGTCCCTTCTGAGAATCGAACCCGCGTCACCTAGCGCTGCAGTCAGAGACATTACCACTGAGTTGTCTCTTTTTGAAATCCCTTAGATATACACAATCAAGGATAAGCGTACTAGCTGTCTCGATAGACATACATATTCAAAGCAACAGTAAAGAATAGGCACCACAGTCAAATGACCTTGAACCAACTAGTCACATCGCTCATCACTACAAATAGTTAGGGTAGGATTAAAGTCGATTTATGATTGAGGTTAGGGTGAAATTTGCAAATCATATTATTATGAAAAGTATCTATTTGTAATGCTCAGCGATCTGATTGGTCGATTGAAGGTCATTTGACCTTGGTGTCTATTCTTTACTGTTACCATACTTTCTGTTATGAAATAGCGACCTAAATTATTTTGCAAACAAACATTGAGATTGAAATAGAATACAGACGCTGATACTGGACAACACACGACGCGACAATCACAAGTATCACTTGACCACGCGCACCAATGACTTCATAGGTCAACCTATCTGTGTCCCCCAGTCCACTCTACTTAGCGAGAACACACAACGATGTCAGATGGGAATTATATTTATCAGTATCCGTATAAGTGTAGAAGTCAAGTGGCTTTATTGCATATCCCTGC